TCTATTCTCTATATGATGCATAGTTATCCCACTGCTGGACATTTAGGAACTAATATTATGTATTATAAAATATCTGAATAATACTATTGGGACCAAATGTATCGAAATATTAGAAATTATGTACAATCATGTGAAACCTGCCAGAAACATGAAAAAGGTAAATAAAAAGAACCTCTCCATCTTATACAAGTATAAAAAGCCTTTGAATGAATTGGTATAGATCTAGTAAGACCTCTCCCTATTACTATTCAAGGCAACTGTTATATTATTGTTGCTACCGACTACCTTACTCTCTAGCCAGAAGCTAAAGCTGTACCAGATGCTAGTGCAAAAATACTTGCTAGATTTATTTTTAAAGAAATTGTATGCCAACATGAAGTATCTAAAATAATTCTGTCAGACAATACAAAGAATTTTATCAGTAAAGTTGTTAGAATATTGTGTGAAAAGTTTTTGATTAAGCACATATTCTCTTCTCCTTACCACTCTCAAACTAATGAAATAGTTAAATGATTGAATTAAATACTTTGCAACTCTCTTGCAAAAGTAAAAAAAACTAATAAAGACTAGGATATATATATACTTGCTGTACTATTTGCATATAGAACCAAATGACATACAACTACAGGATATACTTCTTTTCAATTGGTATATGAACATCAAGCCATTCTACCTATCAAAACTGTTCTTTCGATAAAATCAGATGTATCAGATAAAGAAATAGTATTAGAAAATAGTATATTACAAAGAGCTTTTGAACTAATAGATAAATTACTTTACCAATATAATGAAGAAGCTCAGAGAAATACTAAAAAATCAAAAAATTCTTTCCCGTTTATCACTGAAAATCATATTTGAGAATAAAAAGTAAACAAACTATTAGTTGTTAGTCCAAAATATAATTAAATCTTAAAGCAAGTTCAGCCCTTTGGGCAAGAAGTATTACTTGGTATACAATAATTATTCACGATGGGCAAGATACAGACAAACCACAACACTCTAAAGACAAAGACAGTGCCAACCTTAGCTCCTTTGAAGCCTAATGACAGTATGTCACAACAGAAAACATACTTCCAATCGTTTCAAGAAAAACTATTTGGTACAATATTAGCAGATGATAACTCCACAGACCCTGAAGCACCATCTCAATTGTTCACATATCCAACACTACAAATTGTACCTAGTACTTCTAAAAGCTCTAACAATACCAAAAACTGCCACTCCAACCTTCGCCACAATCCTTACACTAAACCCAAAAGTGGGCAATCTGGCTTACCCCAGAATGTAAATCAGTCTAAGTCACATAATACAATAATAATATTACTTAACCAACCTCAAAACACAACAAACTCCGAAAAGGTAGACTTGACACCGGTACCCTAATCCCAATGCAAATTTTTTTACAATCTGAACAAAACAAACCCATTTTGACTGACCCACATCCCCCAGCTAACTTGGGACCACAACCTGTTTCTATGAATACTGACCCTGCCTACACACCTATCTGGGTACCTGTTGGTTACTGACTTAAACAACTGACCGACTCTTTGAAACCCTGATTCTATAGCCAAGCAATTTGAAAACCTTCTAATCTTACTACTGACCCGTCTACAACAACCTCGGTTTTCTGAAACCAGTGCATAGTGGAAGCACTTGCACAAAGAAAATTACTCTTTGACACACAACAATAGAACAATAACCGAATTCTAGAAGCCTTTAAAGACAAAGCAAACTTAACTGATTTCCTAAAATACAAGGCAAACTCAAAACCTACCGTTTGCAACTTATCTTCTGCAATTAATTCAAAGTTCAACTTTTTTGACACAGCCTTCTTCAAATCTTTCACATGGATTAAAGAATCAATTTCACAGCACCAACGTGAATTCGAGACATTATATAATATAGCTCTTAAAAAGTATAAGAGACAACACGACACTCGCTTTGTTAACAAATCAATCAAAATCAAATTACAGAGAAACTAGGGGAAAAAATAGCAATAGACTACATTACCAACATCGATTTCTTTAAAACGAATCCTTATAATATAACTAGAAAATTATTTTACTGCACTAATTTTGCCTGTATTGATCTTCCTACGAGCTTTGAGAACACCAGAAAGATCATTAGAGAAGTCTTGTTTGACAGACTCGAACCATTACCACCTACTTTCATTTTAGCTTAGAAAATAGGGGGTGTGGTCTAATAAAATTTTGAGTAAATATACAAAAACAGGCTAGAAATCATTTTAGCATACAAATTTGTACATTAGATGGTTTAAGGGATAGCAGCACAGATTTCACTTTGTTATACAGTATTATATTTAAGACATGTGATTTAAATTTTTTTTAACTGACCTGTGGGTTATTCTGGAAAATTAAGTTTACTATTGGATAATACTAGATAAGTTTATAAAAAAGATTAAATAACAAAAATGGAATAATAGAAGCAATTATAACTTAAATATATGGGTGGAGTCAATAGAAAAGTAACAAATTTTTTCTAAGTAAAATTTTCTTGACTTTAAGCTTAAATATCTCAGCAATTATCTTATCAAATTTAATAATATTTTTTTATTTTAATTCTTTATAATTTCAAAATTAAAATAAAAAAATTTTGAGCAAATTTAATTAATTAGTTGTTGAGATATTTTAATTTAAAAATTAAAAAAAATTTACTAAAAACAATTTGTTTCTTTTCTATTGACTCCACCACATATATATATAAGGAAAAGGAAGGTATTGTAATATTGTAACGAAGAGAGATATTGTGACAAATTAGAATAACCTATGATTCTGTGATCAAAATAGGGTGAAATTCACACCTTTTGATTCATCTTAGTGAGAGGAATCGAATAGTATAAGTTTTATTTGATTTTGACTGCTATAGTTAAAATCTATTAATGAATACTAAATCACTCATGCTACTAAAGTTTAAACATCCAGTGTGACACTATATTTCTATTTTATTTTACTTTTAATCTAAAAATAATTACAAGATTAACAAAGAATTAAAAGCGAATTAGGCAAGAAAAAACCTATGTTTATTATTTTAAATTTATGATTTTATCTTTTATCAGAAAAATTTGGGGGTTCAACTTTTATCAGAGATTTTATCTTTTAGAAATTTAGGTTTTGTCTTTTATCATTATATAAAAAAGGTTTTATCTAACAACTATAAACAGAAGTATTAATATACCAGTGTTATAACAAGTAGAAGAGCTTTTAGGGTCTTGGACCAATTTAACTTTGACTATAAATAAATATTGGTTAAGTATAAAATAGTTTAAATCAATAAACTAATACATATAATTACAGGTTATGGTTTCTTTTATTAATAACATAAATCAATACATTGGAATACTACAATAATACTAAATACTATCAATAACCATTTACAATTATTCATAATTGTCCTCTTTTCTCATAATCTGAAACTACACCTTTATATATCTTTAATTTGTATGGGGTTTTAATCACTCGTTTGGAGTTTAATCAGTTGATTAAAGCTTTAATCAGTCATTTGATTATTCATTTGAAGCTTTAATCACTCTAATTGAACATGTAGATAATCTAATATCATAGCAATAAGAGTGAGCATAATAAGTATAATTTAATTAACTGCTTTATTCGGGGTCTGTTAAAGCCAAATACTTTTACATATAAATCTACATATTTCATAAATTCTATTTTTGATATCTTTATATTAAAAAAACTATTAATGGCATCAAAAAAACTATCCTTATAGTACCTGGGTTTAAGCAATAATAATAATATAATTAAAAATTTGACCCAGAGCCCTTGCCCCATGCAGAATTTACTAGATTTTGTAGTAATGTCAGCCTGCTTTATGTAGTTAGAAAGGCCATCAGCTAATGCTATGCATCACAAATTCAACTGATGTTATTTCAGGAACATCAATTTATATATCAATTTTACTGGTGTATGTTATTTATTCTCATTTATATCGTGCTATTTTTTCTACTCATTTCTCATGGCTTCGCTTTGCTCGGCCTTGTTTCAAACTTCACACCTTTTCAATTTACTAATAATGATATATACTGTACGTAATATCATAGAATCAAGTCCAATCATATTTCATTGTCACATGAATATAACCTAAATTTACTGCGATCTTTCATTATAGTCTTTGACGATCAGTGTTATCAATTAATCTATCCGGTAAAAAACCCGATAAAAAAAACAGAAAAATAAGAAATGCTGAAGTATATCGTATGCATAGATAGAAAGTCAATTAAAATGAAGCTTTTATTCATTGTCACAACGGATTTTTTTTGGCTATGGTTACTATTCCTCTACCATAATGTCCTTCGGACAATAAGGAGAAAATGCTTTATAGATCTAAATCATATTGTAAAATCTAAATATGATATTTCCTTAAGAAATTTTGCGCTTTAGAATCATTTTTCCTTTGTGAAATTCTTCTAAGGCTTCTCCGATACAAGATATTAAAATATAAAATTACTTTTATTTTAGCAAATAATTAAAAATTATTATTTTGCAATCTAATATAATAGTAAATATCAAAAATATTCTTTTTTATTTTAACGAATTATAAGAACAAGTTTAATAAATATTCTTGTATGTCAAAATAGAATCTCAATAAATTTAGAATCCACCTAAGTGGATTTTAAATACACTTAAATTGAATGAAAATTTAAAACGAACTAGATAGCGAAATTTAAGGCTGACTTCAAGTCCATTTATTGTAGTAATAATTTTAAATTACATGTAATTAAGATTATAATTTGAATTGGATGTAACATCAGAATTATATATAAAAATTGCTCTTTTAGCAATGATTAAGTTTTTATTTAGATAAAACTAATACAATATAGTTTTCATAGTTGTTTGTATATTTGTTATATTTTAATTAATTATAAATAATTACGACAAAATTTTAAAACTAATGCTAGTAATAAATTAATAGAAAATAATAATCAAAATTCATATAAATCTAGCGTAAATGCGATTCTTGATTTATCAAGATTTACCATCAGTTGATTTTTTAGCCAGTCGTTTTATAAACTTTCCCAACCTTTTATCATATTTTTCTGGAAGATGGTGTAGTAGCCAATTTCTCCGTAAAGAAATATCCGTGAATGATTCTTGTTTAGATTTTTCACATAAAACTCTTCTTAATAAAGGATTAGAAGAATCGCGTTTCTTATATATATAGTATATTGTGCCGGGGATATATAATTTTTGTTCACGTGAATTTGATATTAAATTTTTGTGATAGTCACCAATGGATGCCATTAACGCGGAAAGCTTATCTTTTGAAGACATCTAAAATAATGTAGTTTATTGATGATAATTGTTAGAGTAAAAAAATGTAAAAGAATAAAAATGACTAAATAATTATTTTGTTACCTTTTTATAGTTATCATTCTTTAATTCGTGAACCACAAATTTAATCAGTTCTTTAAAATCTATAAAACTTCCATAACTTAATCTAGGGACAATATCATTTTCATTCACAAAATTATCGATATAAGTCATGGTTTCTTTTTTACACGCAATATCAAGTGAACAACATGGAGGGGGGGCAAAACACCATGCATGGATATCGATTCCATCTGCAATTAGATCTTTGCATCGTTTCCGTAAAAGTATTGTTACAAGACCTGATATGGCTGCACCTAATGAATGTCCTATTACTTGTATTGAATTGACTTTGAATTTTTTTACTGCAGCTTGAATATCTTTTAAAGATTTTTTGACAAGATATTGTGCACTACGCAACATTCCACGATGAACAAATCCATTTTTCCACGGTTCATAATATGCCAATACATCGGTGATAACATCTGCAGCGTTCTAAAGAAATTTTTTAATTAAAAGTTAGACCATTTTGTAAATGTTAAAACTTTATAAAAGAAATTAATTTTTTTACCAATGTTCCTCGAATAGATATTATAATCGAATTTGTCTTTGGATCTCTAATTATCATATAATTAGGTACAGAAATAGTCATTTTTCCAAATTCCCAACAAATAATATCATCTTTACTAATGCTAAAATAATCTTGAATAGTCTTTCGATCAGAATGCATCCTAACGGCATCTATTAGAACCATATAATATTATTGAATAATGTAATAACGCTTTAAAACATAAAATTAATAATGATTACGTACTTTTTGGCGCCAAACCATATCCATACCCAAACAAAGTAAAGAGGAAAGAACCCTGGATTAAAGAAGCATTGTCAATAAACAAGAATTTGATTATGATTAATAAAATTATGAGAATTTGCATACATATGATGCTATAGAAAATTTTAAATAATATGTAGCCTTTTCAAATTTATCGATATCTTTAACTAAATTTCCTGTAATATGACTATCGTTGAAAATGTAAAGAAAGTTTTTTTTTCAATTAATGATGGATTGAAATTCAAACATTATATAAAATAAACATACTTTGGTTTTTGATCATAATATTTTTCTAATAAAAGGTAAGCTTTCATAAACTCTAATTTGGTCACCCTCCATCCATGACCAGTAAACCCTTTACAAAGGGCCGCTAATTCATTAATTGCATCCATAGAGCTTTTACTTAATATGAAATTAAATATACTAATGGATTTTGCTTCTGGATAGATTATGAGATTCAAATTTTCATGATCAATAGCTTCTCCAATCCCATCCATTCCGTGAGTAATCATAGGTAATGTTTCATTTCGAATGAATGATGAACGGTATATCATCGAAGTTAGGGCTGGGTCATTACGGAAATGGAATCTTATACTTATTTGTACGGTACCAACATCATAAGGATGGAATAATTCATTGTTTTCGATAGGAAAAGTCCTATATATTATTAATTTGAATTAGTTGTATACGATATAAATGAGCATTTTTATTATTCTTGTCACAGATGATGCTTAAAATCGAATGATACTGAAATTAAACCCTATTTAATATACGATTTTTAAAATTTTAGGTAATAAATATATATCTCTTTTTTAGCTTTTAGGGTTAGGGTTTATATTAGAGGATGCATGTAGGTATTCAAAGTTCGGTCCGGTTCTACTCGACTCCAAAAGTCTAACCTAAGTTCGGTTCCGAGTCAAACTTGAAAAAAAAAGTGTATTCATGCATATTTTGCATGCGTATACATTTCTCTAGTGCTATACAAGTTGCACGTGAAATGCGAGTCGAGTCCCAAGTCTGACTCGGAACCAAACTTTAATTAAGGTTCGACTTTTGGAGTCGAGTCGAACCAGACCGAACTTTTAAAATCTCTATGTGCCAGTTATGTTGACCATGTGGCGACGATTTCGACACTTATTTATTTTTATTATTGATTCCTTACCCTTCAAATTTAGATCGATCTAAAATAGCTTGTCTTAAAACATTCAACCGAACGTTAACACGTCCAAACCTTTTCTTTGTATTTAACAAAGATTCATAAATATAAAAATCCAATTTTAGCGTGTCGAAAACCATTGAATGATAATTAAAAGGGAAAAGAAACGCCTTTTGCATTTGTTTTTTGAGAGAAATGGCAGGCTTCGTATTATGAGAGGCATATTGGGTCGCTAGATGAATTGATTTCTTGAAATCAGATTTCATTGGACTTAAATCGAATTGCAGAGATTTTATGCTGACAAGAATTTGATCTGGTTAGATGAAACATAAATATTCAAGTTAATAAATAGAATAACTTTGAAGATTCGTTAAAATTAATATATACCTGGAATGGTATTTTTAGATACTTTATAATGAAAAGATTAAGATAATTATTAAATGGTGAATATTAAGTCATGGCAATAACAAAAAAATATCCACTCTACTGTGTATATGATTATCTTTAGCTTGTTCTTTGAAAGAGCCTTCAAGATTATCTTTAGCTTGTTCTTTGAAAGAGCCTTCAATATTATCATTAACTTGTTCTAAGAAAGAGCCTCCAAGATTATCATTAACTTGTTCTTCGTAAAAGACTTCAAGATTATCATTAACTTGTTCTTCGAAAGAGTCTTCAAGATTAAACTCTAAATAATTTAAATTCTTAAATAAATATTTTAAATGTTTGGAAATTTTTGAACTGCAAAATGTACCTTGATATAATTCTGATTCAGCATCAATGCTACTATGAATGCTATTATAAGTTGTGCCTTCATGATATTTATGTTAAACATAATCAATATAATGGTGTAAAATAGATTAATAAATAAAGGTTAATTATATTATAACGTTTTTTTTTTTTCAGAAAGTAGCTACATACTTATAAACTTTAAATCAACACTTACCATTATTTCGTTCAACAAATGAAGTTTCTCTTGTTATCCGAATTGCATGTCTTTTATTTTCGAAAGTTATTTTCTTTCCGGATTCATCAATTTTATAAAAACATCTGCTATTAATTCTTACATTATCACTAGTAAACCAATTGAGATTTTCGCAAAATTCTTCGAAACTACAATCAGCGGTCTCTGTTAAAGAGATTTTAGGTAATGACCCTGACTCAGCAGGATCAATTAAAACATTTTCACTGGATGAAGAGGGCTCTTCATCATTTTGACTATTTTCATCAGATGTATTCTTGTTCAATATAGGCATATTTCACGATAAATTATCTAGTTAACTTCGTTAGCGCAAGATTAGAAAAACTTAACTATAAAGATTTCAGTTTTCTAAACTCAAGCTGTAATTAACAAAAATGTGATTGTGTATTTATCGACTATTACAGTACCGGTACATATTAGGGACCGAAAACTTCTCTATACGCACGTGTACGGACGTATGCGCCTGAAAAGGTTAGACAAATTCTAAAACGACATTAAAAATTATGCGAAAGTCTGAACTAATTAATCAATGAAATTCTGAAGATCTGTGTTTCTTCTTCATACCTTACTTTTTATATATAATAATTTTAAATGGACTTTTTTCATATAAAATAAATAAATCTTACCTTTTGTTTATTCTCATTTTGGAGAATAACATTTTTAAACCCGGATTATCGTATAGATCTTATTTAACTAGTGGGAAATAAAATTTATAAATTCTGTTAGAGCTGATCTACAAATTAATGAAAGATGAAATATTACTTATGGCTACTAATACAAATTAAGTCATACACTGAAAGAATAAACTTGATTGAAGATTAACAGAATAAAACATAGCATAATATGTTAACGCTAAGTCAAAAATATTTTCAAGGATATTCCGTATTTATTCACTTCAATTTGTAAAATTAAAATTATATCTGACGAAGAAGTCTGAAAATTTTGGCACTTTTTATGAATAAATCTAATTAATGCGTCTAAAATATTATATTTTGATTCTACAGCATTGATCTAGTAGTACATTAGAAGTGGTAGTTGGTTTTTTAAATGTGCATTATATAAATATAAACTTAAATGTGCACAATAAAAATATATTTATTAAACTTAATGTGTGCGTTTTTTTTTTTTTACATATTCTTTGTACCAAGGTAAAAAAAAAATCCATAATTAAAATCAAGAAAATATAGAATCTTTATGTTAAAAAAAAGAACATGAAAAGCTATTAAGTGTATTTTTATTTGTACATATTTACTAATTCAAAAGATATTGCGATTTGAATTTAATATCTTGATATGTTTTATTATTTTACGCTATAAAAAATCGACTAACTATACCACCTGCATTATGTTTTGTAGTTACTGTAGACTTGCATTATACATCCCAATGATAGGTAATGGGTGCTTCCCTAAATTTACAAATTCTGATTTAGCATTAAGATGCATATTATTATTTTCCTTTTTTTGGGATCGGTAAACTTCATCGTCAAGAAGCTACGATATGACATATTCAATTTTATACGTACAGTACAGTATGACCAAATGATCATAACGAAATAAGCTTTATAAGTCTTAGGCTACACTACATTACAATTTATGGAAATTCGTCACATTTATATAGGCTATCAGCTATGACTCTATACTCTACAGTACTCGTTATAACGGACCCTTCGGGTTGAAAGATTTTGTCCATTTATATCCATAATAAATGATATCCGTTATAATGTTATACTGTATAATATAATGATATAATTTTAAATTGTTTTAGCGTTATAATAAGGTATCCGAGTCCGTTATAACGAGTATTTCTATAACGAAAAAAAAATACGACGGTGAAGCCTGTGTTAAGAGCTTGTAAAATTCGCTATGATTATCTCATGATGGCGAAATCCTCTTACATAAGAAAAAACACCGAACCCCTACGTAACGGTTTTTATTACGTAGCTCGCACCACAGGTTTCACCTCATAGGCAGACATTCGTATAATTGGCAGTTTAAATCAATTAATTTTACATTATTTATACAGTTTAAAGTACTTTTTAAAAAAAAGAAAACTACGAAGAATAAACGAAAAAGAAGTATATAGAAAGTTTTATTAAGGTCGTAGGACTCCACTATTAAAAATAATCAAAATTCTTTTTTGTTTTAGAGAAGTTAGCACGGTGATAACCTAATTTTAAGAAGTCGTTATTATGCTAACTTCTCTAAAACAAAAAAGAATTTTGATTATTTTTAATAGTGAAGTCCTACAACCCTAATAAAACTTTCTATATACTTCTTTTTTGTTTATTCTTCGTAGATTCCTTTTTTTTAAAAAGTACTTTAAACTGTATAAATAATGTAAAATTAAATTGCCAATCATACGAATGTCTGCCTATGATGCTCAAACATTATATTATTGTGATTTTCTAATAAACGCAACAAAAGAATTTGGTGATCCTTTCTAAACCTGCACTATATATCAATGCTGTGCAGAATCACTGGAACTGGAATGAATATTAGAACTAGATTAAATTGGAAAATATAATCGTTCTAGTTGTCAGTTGTCGCTAGACTTAGAGGTGCAGGCATTTAGCTACCCTAGCGAAAATATTTCAAAATGAAATTTTAAACTTCACATGTTATTATTTGTAGATTATTTAACTAATTCGATTCAAAATTTTAAAAAATAAAATGAATAAAAAAAAAAGTAACATATACTGAGATAAAAAAGATAGGTTAAATGTATAGACCCAAAATGTATAGAAATCATTTGAACACTACACTTTCAAGCTTATCATTATTATTTATCAAATTCAGCTCGTGAAAATTAGATCAGATATATATTATATGTGATTACACGCCATAGATATTACTATTATATTATCAGGTTTTTAAAAGGCCAAATCTAGTAAAAATGAATTATAAAATTAAAGGCTCGAAGTATGATTTACTCCTCTCATTTATGATAGTTCATCAATCGGAAATAACAATTCTATTATTTATTTAAGTGGAAATCGTTTTTAAAGGGAATAAAAAATGATAACCTTATAATAAACATTTATATGTTTTTTCTATAGTGCAGAAATCTGGCTTGCTTACATATAAAAGTATTTTTTTTATTAAGTAACTCTTTCATGTTACTTAATTGAAAGTTGTAGAGCTAACTTTGTGATTCCAATGGTAGTAAAATCATCGAAATTGGTTTGATAGGTCATAAGATATGAGTATTTTTTAATCATTTACTATAGAGTTTTTTCTTAAGAATTGAAGCACATGAGATTCCACTTACTATATAAGGTAACTAGTCACATGCCCGTCAATTTTTACTATGAAATTTATACCCTTTAACTGCGGATCACCCCTTAAATTTTTTTTAATTTTTTATTTAATAATATAAAGTATGATAAAGAGTGTAGAATACCTATCACTATGCCAAGATCACAGGGAATTATTACTTATTAATTAAAGGATCACTTATATTAATATTTCTGTATGTCTTAACATTTTGAAAAATATTGAAAAATGAAATTTTCATTGCTACTCATTGTTGGAAAAAAATAAAATAAAGAATTATACTGATCTTATCAGTTAGGACTGTAATTTGAATCTGAACTGACTGTTATGAGATCGAAACCCGAAACTTAGTCACGATTAGTTGCTACATGTTTTTAATTATTTTATTAACTGTATATATGATAAATACGTACAATCTTAAATTATTAAATATAATATAGTTCGAAATTGTAAAAAACCAAATGAACACAAATTACGATACTTAACTGTCCAATCAGATTCGTTTTATTCCGGCCACAGTTAAAATTTTACTACTACTAGTCTCAGGACACGTCCATAGAAAAGAGGGAAATCAACAAACTTTTTTTTTAACAAATCAATTTAACTCTTTAAAGTTTGTATTTTCTTATAATTAATAACAAAAATTGATCGAAGATCTTTTGTTTGTCGATTTCACCCTTTTCTACCCATATCTGATACTTTCTATGGTGAATCGTCTTCCTCGAACAAATATGTATTTTTTTGAGCACGCATTCCTGAAAAATTCCAGCCATAGTGTCGTGCAATTTTGTGTAATCAATTTTTAAAGGGCATTCATAAAAATTTATTTGGATGGATTCAGAATATTTCAGACATTTATCTAATTTTGGCTTATTCTCTCCAGAATATTTCAGGGTAGCAAGCTCACACTTATGTCCAATAGAAAAAATATAGACAATACAGACATAGTCTATAAATGTCATTCCAACACTGATTTAAGTGATCTACAAATAATATATATATAATTTTCAACTTGAAAATTGTCAAAATGAGATGTTTTAATATGTGACACCCATTTAAAATTATCATATGAAGTCACGTGAGCATTGTACTTCTGTACATTTGACGTGACATAAATGTGTATACATACGTACAAACATGCAAGAATTGAATAATCTTCAGAATTTGTTATAGAATAAATTCGAATATCTATATTTCCCATGCCTCATATTACACCTTATTGGTATCAATTATTAGAAGAAATCAGATTGATACATCTTCACAGTCGATAGTTTAGCATTTATTGGCACACTATATCGTCATCGTCATATTATTTATATTAATTACATTAATTTTAATTATTAATCGCTGCATTTAAATTATTTGATATTATAGCTTTTTACTATTAAGTTTTTTTATCATCAAAACGCGATTAAAATTGAATAAAAATTATTTATATTTACCAATTAAACATTTTCAAATAAGATTAAAATCATCGACAATATGATCATAATGTGGGCTAGGTGCTACAGAAAAGGGGTTCGGAAGATCAATTTTTGTAATAAATCATAAGAAAATACGAACTTTAAAGAGCTATATTACAAAATTTTATTTGTCGATTTCTCCTTTTCTGTAGCACTCTGTTTATGTGTTGTCTGTACAACTACACAAAAATCTGTTACACGAATATAGACCAATAGATAGATAGATTTGTTGATTTCGGCCCATTCTGACTTTGAATTTTGGCTGCGCGAACTAATTAGACTGTCCTACGGATATCTAACACCTTAAAATGTAGATGTTAATTCCGAAGTTCATATTATTGGTTATTTGGTATTAAATTCTGTCTGAATATTGTCCAAGTGTCAAAGGTTTTGTATAGAAAATGTTTATTGTATGTACTGTACATATAATTTAAGTATTTTACACATAAATATATATATAAATATAAGTACACGTCACTCTGGTTCAGGGTTGGGTTATGACCAGGTCATAATAGGTCATATCAATAAGTTCAATTAGT